AAAACTAAGCGGATTAAAATGTGCACAGTAAAGAGATTAATTGATTAAATCTTTTCACTACCAACCAATGCACCACGAGTGCCCCTGTCTGTCATTTTGGCCAGCCAATCACTTACTTGTGGTAAGTGGCTTGTGAGTAGGTTACCGTACCGCGGGTTTGTACCGCGCATTTTGAATGGCTGCATCTGTATGTGCAGTTTCTTCTGGTATGTTATGCAAAGTCCGCTGATTATTTAAAGGCAAGGTAAACCCTCCATGGTATTTTAATATGGATTTTGAATCTTGCGTTTTGCGTTGTGTTCATTGTGTTTTGCAATAAAATATTAACTTCAGAGTAACTCGTAAAACTACTGTCTAAAAGCAATCTAAAAGCAGCCATATGAAATACTTAGAACTGTGAAAATGAACTCTTGTAGCTTTTCTTTAGCTCCTCATATGAGAGATCTTTGCAAACTAGCTTTCATTTGAACTGGAATTTGCCAACTCTCTAGACAGTGACAAGATTATTGCCATATTCAATTCCAAACCCTGAAGCCTGCATCTGGGCTAGAAGGCCAAAACCTCACAACAGAGGTAGGCACTGATTGTTTTTTGTGTGTGTCCACCATGGCATATTGGTGTTCAGAAGCCTAGGTAAATGTTTCTTAACCTGTGTGCGTGTGTGTGTGTGTGGGATATATATACAAGGTTCCGTTAATGCTGCTGTTTGATTATACCACTTGAGGATAGGATTGTAAATTGAAGGGGTGCCCCTATGCATGTAGGACGGTCAGTTAGAGCCTAGATCAATTCCCGGGTATGCATATTCTTTGTTTTGCATCACTTCGCGATTGTGATATATTCTGTATCTTGGTAACCCTCACAATAATATCTGTCATCTATATCCAGCCAGACTGCTATATGTTTTTATATACACAATTTGATGTACGAATGAATTTATTTGGTGTATTTGAACCCGTGTGTGTGTATCTGATGATTGATTCCTAATAGCCAAAAGAACCACCATGTAATTTACTGTTATAATTAATAATTGTCCCAAAAAATTCACAAAACTCCTACACTACACTGGCATTTTAATCATTTTTCTATATCACAGTTTGTCCTATATTTAAATAATATTAATAAGAAAAGTAATAACAAAACTTTTTGTCACTCAACTCTGATAAAACTGAGGTTCTGTTGTATGGAGACAACAGTGCATATAGGACTGCTATAACCCCTGCACTCAACTCTTAGGGTTAAAAATTTTGCCTCAGAGATTTGGCACATAATTTAGGCATCATCTTAGACACAAGGCTCTCATTTAACTGTCATGTTAATGCACCTTACAGCGATTCAAAACGTGGCAGCTAGAATTGTTACCAGGAGTAGAAAGTACAGTACGACCACATAACACCTATATTTAGCTATCTCCATTGGCTTCCTGTTAGGTTCAGTGCAGACTTCAAAATAATTTTGCTTACTTATAAAGCTCTCAGAGGTCAGACACCTGTCTATTTAATGTGTACAATCCAAGTCGCCCACTTAGATCACAGAACACAGGTCTTCTTCTTATTCCACATATTAATAAAAAAACAGCTGGTGCTAAAGCCTTTAGCTACAGGGCCCCTAATTTATGTAATACTCTGCCAGTCTACATACAGTATGGGATGCCGAGTCAATCTCAGGATTTAAATCCAGACTAAAAACCTATTACTTCAGCCTAGCCCACTCACACCTTACATCACAGTTTTACAACTATGGTTGCTGGTGCTGCTGTATGTGCCATTGTGTGTCTCAATATTAGCCATCCAAGGGATACTGCAGTAGTTTGCAGTTGAGCGACTGCATGAGGTTGCAGTAGACTGTGGGTGTCCTCAGCATTTAAGATATTTTCAGTAATGTGACTACAGTTCTTTGTAAAACCGCCAGGTGGAGCTACCAGAAAGCTTTATGGGACGTGTAGAGCATTTGAGAGCTCTGTTAAGTTGGCCCCCCTACAGAGAGCACAAAAATAGCCCTAAGGAATGAGGTGGGTTTCATAATTTGTGCCATTGAAAGTAGTGGTTGTGCTGCTTTCGTTTCCGAGATATAGTGCCTTGTTTTTTCAGGGTTGTGATGTCACTCAGTCCCCTTCAACATTTTAGGGGAACTGGACTGGTCTAATTCGTTAGTACTGAGTTTGTGCCAATTTGTGCCGTTGAAAGTAACTTCCCAGCTGCTTTTGTTCCTAAGATATAACATCTTCTTTTTCAGGGTGTGACCTTGCCCAGCTCCCCTACAATTTCATAGGGGAACCAGACTGATCTCAACCCTTAGTGCTGCGTTTTTGCCGGTTTGTGCTGTTGAAATAGTGTATGTGCCTCTTTCGTTCCCAAGATACTGTATGCTGTAGCGCCTTGTTTTTTCGGGTGATCATGCAAGGTGACTTTGACCTCCAGTGACACCGTCTTCCGAGTTCAAGTGCTCTGTTACTGGTGCGAGAGTAACAATTCTGCAATTTTGTGGCAGTGGTTGATTATCAGTAAATCAGTAAAATAATTTAATTCACTTTATTTTCTGAACAGCCAATTAACCAAACATAAAAAACTCATCTTGGTCACTTGTGTATTTGTAATACACCATATATAGAATGTACAAACATTAATTACCATTCTAAATCCAAAGTCGTGTATTGCTTTAAAAGCTTACTGCTAAATTTAAGAATTAATCATTTTATTAGTTTTATCAAAAAGCCATCTAAAAATCTAAGTTTACCATATGCTAAATTGCAAAGGTCTGAATACGTTTGCAAGACACTATATTTTCTTATTTTCAAGACGAGTTTATAGTGTAATAAGGTCTCTTATCAATAACTGAATAAAAAGCTAACAAGCCATTATTATGTTTTGAAAAGCCATTTTTATTGTTATAGTTTTTATAACATTTTTGAAATACAGAATGTATTGCTTTGATTTCTAAAAGAAGCTTATATATTTATATTGTTACACAGATTATTAAAAAAAAAGCTTTCAATGGTTAACTTTGCTTTTTTACTCAAAGTGCAGTAAAAGTGCACTTTTTCACCTCAGTCATCCAGACAGATTTCCATGTTTTTCACTACAACTTATACACTATAAATGCATGTATATGGTAGTTTGGTGACTTAAGTTCCAAGGTCCAGTGGTTCTTCTTTATTGCATCAGCACAATTTGATATTTTCTTGAGAGGGTAACTCAGAAGCTCCTATAAGAAAAAAAATACTTTGAAACATTCTTAGAATCATCATAATATAGTGAATGCTACGTGGTACAGTATATTTATACCACTACATGGACCAAATTCAGGCTGTCTCAACCACCTGCCATTCATTAACCTTGATTAGCATTGTATTAATGCCCTGCAGCACCAATGCTCAGTTATTGAGTTGTTTTCAGCCACACTATATCCTGATCTGAGAGTTATTGTTTTCTACTCCCATCCTGCTTACTGGTCTTGTACAGTCCCTCTCTTGCTTCCCATCTTTGCTGCTGGCAGTCTTGTTTAAGTCCACTTCAATTTCCCTTTATCTACCAGAACAGCTCCAGCTGTCTATGCCTGTTCTTTCCTGCAATTTTGGAACCTTCCATCAGTCCCTATTTCTGTACTGCATCAACCTCTTTGTACTTTGTGTTCCACTATACAATAAACTAGGCAAAACCATGCATATGAATCCCCCAGGCCCTTCGAATCCCACCAGCCTTTTTCCATCTAGCCATGATGTAACAAAGATGCTATCCAGAAAGAATATGAGTTGGTGATTTCTAGCTGTTAACCATTACTGTATTTACTATGACTATTCTCTACCCCAAAAAAGATGCATGAATTTGCAACAAAGTATATTACTAAGGCATAAGATGTACAAAACACAAAACATTAATACCTGTTTATGTTGTTAACATAGTGAACACTGGTGAATGCAATGCATAGACACAAAGAAGACAATTTTTTAGGTGGTCTTCATTATGCAGCTGCCATATGAAAGCAATTACAGAGGAGAGCTGTTTTAAAAAAACATGAACTTGATGATATAGTAAGAAGTTGTATTTTTTGGGAAATAATCACCACACATATACATCTAACCAGAGGTGTCATGTTAACTTTTTCTAATTATACAGTTCATAACGTAGCACTGTTAATAACTTTATAAGTATGCCATGTGTGATTTTATCAAAACATTATTTACAATGACCAGACTTTGATTAGTACTTTGTTTCAGTACTTTAATGTTGCTTGAGAACAGGTGGATCTCTGACTTGATCACAGATTCAGTCCTGGGTCATGACACTATCCAACTGTGAGCCAGGGTTACCCAAGCATTGGTACACAATTGACTGAGAGCTGGTACAGAGTTAATCACGATTCTTTTCTTAATGACAAAATGACCCCTGTGGCCTCTAATGTGTTTGCAGGCATGTGTTGCTATTTATGAAAATGTCTCTCTCCTCCAATCAGATCTGAACCTTCAGTATGATGCTACTGTATTATACTACACCTGCAAGTCCGTGATGTGTTATAAGCTAAATAGTTCATATATATTTCAGAATATTCCTTGGCTCAGAGTAGAGCCAAGGATGGAGATAGTTCAAAACCTACCTCACCCTGTTGCTGAAACCAATACTCTAGTTTCTTTCAAGAAACATTTGGATGAGATTCTTGAATCAATTAGTTGTTACCTTATAACTATATAATTATGCTACAGATGCAGCCATTCAAAGTGCGCGGTACACACATGTATCGGAGGTAATTGGCTACGGTGTCGCGCATTGTGACGCAGAATGAAGCGCGGTACCGCAGTGTGTGATTAGTTGACCGACAGGGGCACTTCTGGTGTCTTCTGTTGTAGAAAGATTTACAGTAAACGCCTTACTGTGCCCGTTGTAGTGTTGAATATTTATATGGAATTTTACCACTGAAGGGAAATCTTAGTACCGGAGCATAAAAAGAATAGGAGCATACTGCAACGCGTGTGAAGGCCATAAACGATATTAATTTTGGAACTTAAACATACAGTATATGCCTGGTCTCGGTACTTTAAAGAAAACATACACACCAGTATTCCATTGCTCCCTAAACATTTTAAGCATCGAAGTCTTTAACTAACATGATACTGGAGTCAACAAGCATACTTTTAGAATTTGATTAAAAGGGAATATAATATGGAATCGTGTATCTAAAGAAATTAATAACAATATAATTATATTCATGTTGCAAAAAAACTGCAACGGACATAAAAACTCCCTTGCTTTTAACAGAGCGTTCCATAATTCCTAACTACGAAAATGATTTAAACTGCGACACTTATCATTCAACCAGAGCTCGAAATATCACAAGGATCCTCTAGGGCACAGCAAAGACTGTATTAAAAGAATCGCGTATCTCAAGAAATTAATAAGATATAATTATATTCGTGTACTGCGAAAGGGCTGTGTAGGGCTGTTTCACCTCTGTCTTCATGTGACTATTCAAAAGCCATTTAGCAAAGAGGGGATGAGAAGAGTGACAAACTAGTATACAGTACATTCAGATCTTTTTTTCCAAACAGGGGAAAATCTGATCATGTTTCTCTATAACAATAATAAAAAACATTGCCACACCCGGACTGTTAAACCAACGCATTAGCACATCAAAGCCCATTGAGGAGCCGGACGCAATAACTGTTTTGTCCCTTGATTTACTGATCTGCATTAATTACAGAAATCGAGTTCCTGCTGTTTGCAGATGACCTGGTCCTGCTGTCGCCCACAGAACAGAGGCTGCCACAGAACCTGGCGCTGCTGGAGCAGCACTGTCAGACCTGAGCGCTGACAGTCAATCTGGACAAGACCAGAGTTATGGTTTTCCAGAAAAAAAGCCAGACCCCCATTTGTCTTCCTGAGATCGTCAGATTATGAACGAATAAAAGCATCTTATTAAAAACGCGTTTGCGTTTGTCTGGGTATTTACTTTATAATCTGTGGTTTACATCTACTGTATTGTTTTGAGATGCCACTTTTAAAGGTGATATGTAAAATAAAGTTTTTGGTCACTGATGGTCACTGAAGGAAAGTGGAAAATGGAAAACAGTGATATGACACGGTTCCAGGCAATATAGACTGATTGTTGAACTGCTAGAGAAGAGCTTCAGAGGGGAAAGTACTGTGAGACTGTCACTGTACACTGAACACTGTGTTTAAACTCCTACAATGCTTTGTTCAAAAGCCTGAGAAATGAGATGAAAATTGCTCGTAAATAGTTAAGGCTGGAAGTGTGGAGTTAATGAACCATGTTGTATGTAAACAACCTCAGTATGTAACAAACCATTTGAAAGTTATTTGGATTTCAAACTTGCTTTGTTAAACATTGAGGAAAATGGAAATAAACAGAAACCAAAAGGACCTGGGGGCCAGGGTGCTCTTGCTCCTGAGGAAGGACCACAAAGAACTCCAAATAGACAAGGAAGGAAAGATGGACAAAGAGCTCAAGATTTTAAATGTCTGAGTAGACAGAGAGAACATAGATGTAGTTGAAGACCTGGAGCCTTGAGCCGGTTGAGATAGATTTTTTTAAAATTAACTATATATGGTGAACTATTTTCTTTTGATGTGATATGTATAGCAACTTCCAATATTAAGGTAGAAAATGTTAAATATGATACTAAATTAGATGTTCATGAAAGCTGTATTAATTGTATGACCAGGATGAACATTGTATACAGGATGACAATCTAGGGAGTGTTTATGACTTACCTTTAATGCCTGTGATCCTTTGTACAAGCACTGGCACAAAACAGTCCAAAGCCCCATAGTGCCCAGCCTTAAAAACGTGCTTGGCATCTGAAGCAATATCATTCAGCTCTGCTGCAGTTTTAGGGTTATTGAACTCACTTCCCACCTGAATATCAAATTTGATTGCAAAAATAGAAATGTTACTTGCTAGAAGATTACATTCCAAAGTGTTAATAAAGGAAAAAAACATAGTAGTGATACAATTCTAGTTGTCCATACATATTTATTACCATAAGAACCTACCCCTATAGCAAAGCGGGTAATATTTCTTATTTTCGGTGAGCTCAAAACATCTTTGAGATTCATGGGGTCCAGTAATATCCGTCCATCCGTCAACACAGTCATAATCTTGTTGGCATCCTTTTTTGATCCATTTTCAGCAACAAAAACATGTTCCCTGTCAAATATAAAGCTTCCAATGTAAGTTCCTATTATATATTTTTCACTACACAGTGTCATTTAAGATTATATGTGTTTATTCATATAACACTATCCAATGCTGAATTATTACTGACTTATAACCTGCACTCTGATTAACCCACTTTTGGCCACCTAGCATTGGTACACCTTTGTTTTTGCAAGGTATTATACTGTTGCTGATATATTCTGTTTGTAATTTATTGTTCTTACCTGCTTTATTATGTTTTTATTGTTTTCATATGTATTGTTTTCATGCAAATTCACCTGGATATGGAAGTGTCTAAAAAATTGATAACAGTACTGATAATCTTAATGGGGATTGTATGTGGCAGTTAGCAATTCTTTCCAACAGCTCCTGGGATAGCATTCCACATGCTTTCTGTGTGGAATTTGCTCATTCTCCCTTTTTTATAGACTTTTATATTTTTTAGTGGGGGTTCCTACCTTCCAAATTCAAGTTGCTGTATTAGTTAGTGCCTTTTGATTCTGTGTATGCATGTGAGTATCCTGTAGTGATGGACGTCCTGTTCATAAAATAATTTTGCAGCCTATACTCTCTCTCATCCTAGCGTTAATCCCATATCAGGAGGGTCCGCTTGTCAGCACGCCCGTCTCCATTTGATGGTTTGAACCAAATCTTTGAGCTGACATTGCCATTAAATGCGACCGAGAATACTCCAACCGGTGCAACGCTCCGCCTGCCGTCGGAGTGGGGGGGGGGAACAAAGTAATGTAGCCAATTCATAGAGGGGGATTATTAGGAGGCATAGGAAATTTGGTCAGGACGCCAGGGTTACACCCCTACTCTTTTCGAGAAACACCCTGGGATTTTTAGTGACCACAGAGAGTCAGGACCTCGGTTTTACGTTTCATCCGAAAGACGCCGCTTGTTTACAGTATAGTGTCCCCATCACTATTCTGGGGCATTAGGACCCACATGGACCACAGGTTAAGTGCCCCCTGCTGGCCTCACTAACAACTCTTCCAGCAGCAACCTTAGTTTTTCTCAGGAGGTCTCCCATCCAGGTACTGACCAGGCTTACACCTGCTTAGCTTCAGTGGGCTGCCAATTTTAAGTTGCAGGGTGACATGGCTGCTGGCTATTTTGCAGCCTATACTGCCAAGATGAATTCTATGTTGCTGCATTTCAACCTTGGAATAAGCACTTTCCTTACAATGGATACATTTTGGAGAAAAATCCCTCTAACCTACCATTATAATCATAACATGTATTTCAAAATGGTTGCTAACTTTTAGTCTAAAAAAATAATGCAATGAAATATTGTATATTGATATACTGTACTTACAGAACATAATGAATGGCAGAAGCGGTTCTTGTAGACTTGTATATCTGAGTTATGTTCTTAACTTTATTTACAGCAGTTGCAGGAGGGTCATTTTCATTGAGGGAAAGTTCTGTCCTTATATCACTTCCATACTGTACAACTGCAAATCTGCACTATTAAATAAATGAACAAAAGGAAGATATCTTCATCACAAAAATGTTTTAGAATACAATAGTTTGTTCATGTGCTTTTAATTTGTGTGTATGTGGTTTAATGTGCCTCGAGAATCTAAACCAGTGCCTAATTTAGAATGCTACTAGTTCTCAATTTAATGAAACTATATAAACTTCTTACATGAATAAATGTGTGTAATAGTTTTAATTAAATTAATGATTACACATATTGTTATTTTCTGAAACAGATCTACCACATACATTGAGAATAACCTGTAAATAGAGACAATAATATTTTGCACCATATTTTTTATATTTTTAATTATATTAAACATTATTAATATTATTAATATAAATTATTAATATTAAATATTAATAATTTATATTAAATTATTAATATTTTTTCCTTCACCATATGCAGTCCATTAAATGTTGCCACACAAATGTTTTCTGGCAAAATCTAATTATTATTGACATCTGAGGCCTCATAACTCTGTTACTCTAAGTATTACAGATGACTACAGTTTAACTTAAAGCTGTCGATGCAGTCATACAGTTTCAAATACCTTGTCTGAAGCATGCTTCTTTTTTATGCTTTACCTTTGCAAGGGAAAGGTTAGGATATCTTGTTGATATAATGCTGAGCTCGGCTTTCTGACAAAGTGTTTTAAAAAGACTCAGGTCTGGCCTCAAGTCAAAACTTAGACTAGGTAGAAACTCAGAAAGTCTGCTTGCCCTTGGTTGTAGCTGCAACATTGAACATCTCATTGATAGGCACTGGTGTCAACAAAAGTCTACCTGTATTATTCAATTGATCAAGTAAAATTACATTTGGAAGAACTCTTCATAAAGCCTCTCTTCCTGCATAGAAAGTCTTAGGGAGTCATGAGTCATGAGGTGTAGTAATTTTTCCCACCAGATAGGTTCCTCATTGTGGATAGTCCTAGTCCTTTCAGTGAGTTATTGACAGTGATCTTTATTCAAAATTCCATATCTGTCTCTCTCTTGGAATGGTAAATGAAGAGAAATTCAACCTAATTTATGATGTCCTGGTATGTGTCAGAATCCCATCACATCCTATTTAGCAGAGGCGTGTTTGACTAACAGTCCTAAGAAAATGATTTACAGGCACTATGCTGTGTGAGGCTTATTTTCAGTTCAAGGCAACATAAAGATGATTATTAAAACCTTTCTGGCAAAATCCACTTTTCCAGCTTTTGTTCTCCTGTGCTATTTAATCTTTGCTGTCTACCCCGTCTTTCTTACACCTGAAGATGGCTCCACAGCTGAAACGTTGTGTTTCCTTTCTTTTCTTCAGCATGGAATAAACCCGTTACCTGTTCCTTTGCAGCTGTAGTGGCAATGCTTGTTAATAAGACAGAATTAAGCGTTGGTATGCTGTCCTAAATGAGGCCCCATCTCACCCTCCATCTCTGTGGTGCAGCCACAGAGAAAGTATTCATGCAGGCTGATTTAAGATGTTTTCTTTTGATAAGG